TCGACCCAGCTGAACAATATGGGAGATGTTGGAGTGATGTGTTAGACAGCATCTCCACTCATCACAACACCACCTGAGGGAATATCTGTTGGAAGAATTATTTTCATCTCTCCAGTAGAGCTCAGACACTTGGAGAGTCAATGCCAAGGAGCAGTGAAGCTGTTCTGGTGGCACGTGGTGGCCCAGCACCTCGCTCAGACACTTCATGTTGGTTTGTCCTTTTGTTTGTCACCTGTCTGTTCCTGTTGAAGCGCACATTTATTCAAATTTTCAGCTAAAATTTTGATACTTAAAAATGCATGTTCCTGTATTTTCCTGTAATATTTGATCTGAACTACACAAAATGTCTTGAAGGTTTATTAGGATCATTATGCTGTGGTTTAATGTGATGAGTGGATACAGCAATCTTGGTTCAGGTTGCCCTGGATTCTGCACTTAAAGGCGTGCTGTGGAGTTTTTGACCTCTAGTAGCACTATAGAGCAGTGTTTTTACAAGTGGGTCTCCTTGTTGTGTGTTTTTGTTTTTTAGCTGTACAATAGCTCCAGGCTATTGTAATGATTCACACAAAAAGAACAGTAATGTGCTAACAAAGGCAGGGAAGAGGAAAACTGTTAGGAAATAAACAGGAATGTTACCAATGTCGAATTAAGATTTTATTAAGCTGGCTTTGCAAAATCATTTGAGGAAAGAAATTCATTCAACACATCTGTAAGATGTGCACAGTGTGTTTTGAGGGGAGACAGTGAATGTCAACATACAGTAACTTTTGATGGTTTACAGGGCACCTTTAAATCTGTGTGAAACCTGACATCTACTGGCAAAATTGTTCTTTCAACAGAATTCATGTTGAGTGTGTGAGATTTCCCTTAAAGAGCAGAGTCTCTCCTGTCAAATCTAACCATTTGCAACAAATTTGGTTAGTTCTTAACCTTAATGTTTCTGACTGTACTAGGGGTTCTGCTGTTTCCCAGTAAATTGGTGATTATTTAGCAATTATTTATTTTTGAATTGGCAATTAATAAGAAAGAATGACAATAGACATTAAATCAAAACTAAATTTCAGTAGAACGCAAGGACGCTACTTCCACAGTCAGGGATCTCTTGGACATCTTGGACATGCAGTGCAGAGACACCATATCAGCAGTAAAATTAAATAATTTGAGTTTCCTGTTGACTGTGGTTCAAAATTATTATTGAAACAAGTTATATTTATGGTCTATCGTACTCTTCAGTTTGAATAGAGAGTAGTGGGGGCAGGCTGCTCTGAGGAACCGAACAGAGGGTTAATCAGTCCAGCCCAGCAGGCGCTGGTGTGAGGTGGTAGCTTACTGGTTTGAGTGACAGTGAGACCCCATTTAGAGCCGTGCTGGACAGAGATATAGCAGCACAGCAGACTTATCTCCCACAACACACCAACTGTCCCCCACCACCACCAGCAGCAGCAGCAGCACCCACTACAGACCTACAGACAAAGAAGGATGTTGGTTCTATTGACTTAACACTCTAGACGTACATGTATACATTTGTGAATTATAATAAAATGTTAATGGAGCCACCTTTCATTTAATTTCTTTAAACTTCAAATGCATTGGACAAAGGTTAAGGTGCACCATGATATTCAGTGAATTTGGTTTACAGTATTATTGCTACTAATTAAGATTATTGCTTGATTTAATTTGTCATCTAATTAAAATCTCAAATGTATTTTTACTTCACATAGTAATGGTGTGGTTATTGTGCTTTTACACAATACAGTTGTGCATTACAGAATGACACAGTGTGACAAATATAGCCGTTATCAGCCACTGCAGCATGAGTGTGCAGTTTACCAGAGTGAGAACTGAGCGTATCATCCACGCATGTGAAGTGTAACTGCATGTGTCAGTGAATGACAGACGAAGCCACAAACACCATCAGCTGCAAGAAGACCATTGAGAAAAGAAGGGGCTCAGCTCACCCACTCGCAGCATCCTCTGAGCACTGGTTATCAAATCCGCTTTGCGTCATGGTCCACAGGACAGAAGTAGAACATTTAAAAAAATATGGAGATGAGGAAGTCAACTGTCTGGTGAAGTAAATCGACTGGCACTCTCAGAGAATATGGACAAGAGAAGCATAACAGTGATCGTGGTTCTTCTGCTCTGTGTCATTGCAGGTAATAATGCTGATGGCTTCTTTGTGCCATCGTTAGCATTTGGCACCTTTTCAACATATTTTTACAATCTGGGATGTTCTTTCCGCCCCCTCTCAGGTATGCCAGCAGCAGCCCAAACTCTGGATGTGTGTGCCACGTGCCATGCTAACGCTACATGTGATGACAAGTCTGATGGTTCTGGGAAAGTCTGTAACTGCAAGTATGGGTTTGTTGGAAATGGAAGAACTTTCTGTCAAGGTAGGAAAAGCTTCTTTTATTTATTTGGTCTGTGTTCATTTATCTAATTTTTGTCTGATGGGAAGAGGGTTTGCAATAGGAGCTGTGGCTGAGTCAATTGAAATGTTAAAAAACAAAAGTCATTAATCTGATATAATTATGAACATCCACTAATCATATTCCTTAAAGCTGTGCTAATTATTTTTATATTCACAACTGATCAAATTACTATGAGTAATGTGAAAGGGGTTGCTCAGAGTGATGGACCCATAAACAACCATGTCAGGTGATCGCCAAAGGGATTACAATCCAGACAGGAACATGAATGTGTGTATCAAATATTATGGTAATCCATCCAACTGTTGTCAGTGGTTCGCAGTAAAAGCCAAAAGAGTCAACCTGCTGATGGGCTAGATGAAAATTCACTAGTCATCCTCTGGGAACCATCAATATACATGCAAAATTTCATGGTAGTCTACCTAATAGACCCTTTTCACAGAAGCCTTTCTGACTTGTCATACCAGGAAAAGCACAGGTGGGATTAATAACATTAACAACAGTGCAGTTCCAATAAGTGTCCCAGTGAGCTGGCACACACAGTACTAGGATGACGTGGAGTAATGTGTATTATTGTCATTAAATATCAAAATATCTGTGTGAACATAGAGTCTATAGTTGTTCAGTCTGAACCAAAATGGTGGACCAAGCCGCTGACATTGCCATCACTAGAGCTGTGCCACCTAGTGTGTGAATGCAGTTCAAGGAGAAAGATGAGAAAATATCTCTCTCTATGTTGAAGTGTAACAGTTGTTTGTTGTCTTTCAGATAAAGATGAGTGTCAGATAGGAGCCATTAAGATCTGTGGGCAGCACACCACCTGCCACAACACACATGGCAGCTACTACTGTACTTGCCTGGCTGGCTACAGCCCTTCGAACAACATGGCCAACTTCATCCCAAATGATGGGACCCACTGCCAGGGTGAGTGTGGCTGACCCTGGGTGTTTTTTATAAGGGCTATTAAATCAAAAAGTCTAAAGAAAAGGGAATAGGCCAAAAACTATAAAGTGAAGCATCTAAAAGGTAGCAACAGGGTATGAAATGAGTCACACAGATTAAAATGTGCAGAATAAAACAAGCCAGCCCAAATTGATATATAGACAAAGGTTTAAATATAAATTTCTAGACATATTATTAAGCAATTTGTATGATTTTTACTACAATCCTTTGAAAGATCACAGTTGAATCCAAATGATTTACAGCCAGTTTTAGAAACCCCAGAAGCATCCTGTTTTAAAAGATAACATTTTTATTTCAGTGTAGTAAAACCTATAATTTAAATAAATGTATATTGGTGACCCTCGTTTAACAGGCTGAAACTAGATCTTTACAAGATGGATGACATCCAACCATCCATTATTTATACTCATTCCTGAATAGGGTCGTGGGGGGGGGGGCTCGGGCCGGCCCAGGGT